ATTGAAGAAACTTTACAAACCTTAGAGATGGTGAAGATGAAACTGAACCAAACCAAATGTACATTTGGGGTGGAAGAAGGGCAGTTCCTGGGATACTATGTCACCAGACAAGGTATCCAGCCCAACCCATCTAAAGTCGATGAATTCATCGACACACCAACACCAAGCTCCCTCAGGGATTCGCAGGGTCTGAATGGGAAACTCACAGCCCTAAGCAGGTTCATTTCGAAATCTTCTGACAAGGCCATGCCATTATTCCACACGTTGAAGGGTTGTATTGAGAAGAGAAATTTCCAGTGGATGAATGAAGCGGAAGAAGCACTACAAAGAATTAAGGAAGCGCTGCATGAATTACCCACACTGGCCAGCCCCATCCCGGGAGAGACACTACAAGTATACCTCTCAATGTTAGGTGAAGCAATATGTTCAGTATTGAGTGTAAAAAGGTAAGGGGAGCAGAGACCGGTATACTTTGTTAGCACAGCGTTTCAAGGACCAGAACTCAACTATCCCATGCTGGAGAGGCTGGTCCTGGCGCTCATTTATGCATCTTGATGACTAAGGCGATACTTCCAACCACACCAGATAGAGGTGCTCACGAGTTATCCCATCAAACAGATACTTCTCAAGCCGAAGACGTCGGGCTGGCTGGCGAAATGGGCGATCGAATTGGGAGAGCACAACATAAACTATCGCCCAAGGACAAGTATCAAAGGGCAAGCGCTAGCCGATTTCTTACTAGAAATTCCGGACGGTAGGGACCCGACCAAAGAAAAAGTGGGGGCAGTTGAAGGGACCCCGGCTGACAACAATTCATGGACCTTGTATACGGATGGAGCATCCAGCAGGGAAGGTTCTGGGGCGGGGATGATCCTAACCAGCCCAAAAGGAGAAGAGGTAACCTACGCCCTCTGCTTCGATTTCCACACATCAAACAACGAAGCACAGTACGAAGCGCTGCTTGCAGGATTACGCCTAACCAAACGAATAGGCGCGAAAGCTGTAACGGCCCTAACCGACTCGAGGCTAGCAGCAAATCAGGTTAATGGGAGTTTTGAGGTAAGAGATCAGAGGATGGGAAAATATGTAAAGATGGTGAAACAATTGGTAGGATCATTCAGGCAGTTTACAATCAAACAGATACCTAGGAGTGAAAACAAGAGAGTAGATGCTTTGAGTAATTTGGCTTTTACGTGCTTCGACCATTTGTCAAAGAAGGTCCTAGTAGAGGTGCTCCGCGATATAAGTATAGACGAGCAGCAAGTGAACATGCTAACCCTAGCCGGACCCATGTAGATGACACCGTTCAGGGAATACCTACAGAGGGGGTATTGCCAGATGATCACGGCGAAGCCAGAAAGATACGTATAAAAGCGCCTTCATATGCAATGGTTAATGGAGAATTATATAAAAAAGGGTTCACGACCCCATGGCTGAAGTGTGTGGACCAAATTAAAGGGAGAGAAATGCTACAGGATGCACACTCAGGCCAGGTTGGTGCACACGAGGGGACACGGGCTTTAACGGGCAAGGAGTTGCGAATGGGGGTATACTGGCCAACGATACAACAAGATGCGATAGAAATGATCAAGAAATGTGGGGAATGTCAGTCTTACGCCCCAATTCAAGCGAATCCCCCGGTGCCACTGCATAACATATCCAGCCCATGACCATTTTACCAATGGGGCATAGATATATGGGTCCATTCCCAGAAGCCCCAGGGAAGCTAAAGTATATGGTGGTGGCCGTGGACTACTTCACAAAATGGATTGAGGCGCAACCACTGGCGTGCATATCGGGGAGACACATGATAAAGTTTGTATGGAAGAACATCATGACAAGATTTGGGACACCCAAAGTTCTTATCAGCAATAACGGCCTGCAGTTTGCGGAAAATCCGTTCAAAGAATGGTGCACCACCAAGGGGTTAAGCCAACGTTTCACATCGGTGGCACACCTGCAGGTGAACGGACAGACGGAGGTATCCAATCGAACCATTGTGAATGGAATCAAGAAAAGGATAGGAAAAGAAAAAGGGAATTGGGCAGAGGAGATACCGATAGTGTTGTGGTCGTACAAAACTATACCACGAGCAAGCACAAATGAAACCCCTTTCAGCCTAACGTATGGAACGGTGGCCATGCTTCCCATGGAAGTGGCAATGAACACACTGAGGGTGACCATTGAGGATGAGGAAAGCAACACACAAGACCTGAGGATAAACCTGGATATCCTAGAGGAGAAGCGTGAGAAGTCTGAGATGCACCAAGCTGTTTACAAGCATGCGACAGAAAGATACTACAACCAAAGGGTAAAGGAAAAGGCATTCAGAGTTAGTGAATACGTTTTGAGGAAAAACGAGGCAAGTCGAGCCTAGCCCCAAGGCAAGTTGTGCCCAACATGGGAAGGCCTTTATAGAGTCACAGAGGCAAATAGGAATGGTGCATATGTGTTAGAAACGATGGAAGGTAGGCAGATTCCAAGAACGTGGAGCAACAGGAACTTGAAGAAGTATTTCTTTTAAACATGAAAGAGGGAAGACACACAACCTCAGTTGATCGACATGCTGCTTAGTGTAGCACATCCTAAGTACTTAGAGTACATATATCCATGCTTAGTGGCATGAGTTTAATACTTAGTGTATTTAAAAATCCGCGGTCAATGTAGAATGATAATGCAATTGCTAATATTTGATACTTAGTGTATTAGTTTATAATGATCGAATGTTCGCACGCAAAACTTGATCGTTGGTCACTAAGAGTGTCCAATACCGACACTTAGTGTGTCGATGATAGCCAGAGCAAAATGAAATATTTTAGCTCATCAGGGTGCTGTATCTCCCAAACAACGTATAATAAACAAGCAGACCATACGATAAGCAAAGTGAGAAAAGAACAGATAATGCTTAAAGCACACAAAATACATATCCAGGAAAATAAAACATTGTTTCTAAAAGTTCGAACATTACACAAGTTCAAAAGCAACAAAACCTAAACCAACTAAGCAGAGAAATTTTCACACCGCGGGAGGGGTAGCACACGATTCCGGGGTGACCTCCCCAACATCCCTTCCAATATCCACACCCACCTCGTCAACATTACCATCACCAACAATTGTCTCAACACCACGATCAACTTCACCAATAGTCTCACCATCTTTACCATTCCCAACTACCGGCACAATTTCCTGACCCACCATAGTCTCCGGAGTACCTTTAGAACCACCAAAAGAGCATAATTCCCAAAGACCTTCAATTCCCAACTACCCCAAACCCAACAAAGATGCATGGTCCATACTGGCAAAAGACAAAAGGGCATCGTTTACACTAACTGAAGGACCAACCAAAGAAGTACCAGCAACTCCCTCCCCACCCCCACCACCAGCAGAAGTCTTCTAAAGAGATTCAATCCCAACCACAAATGCAGCATGACAAATGAGGATTATGGCATTGGTAAAATCAAGATGCTCGATCAGCTTATCAACAATGCGGACCACGCCAACATGCACCAACTAATCTAAGTCCTGACGAGAAGCATCCATATCCGACTGTAGCGATAACACAAGCTTGTCACGATCAACAACATCACGCTCAAGACTCTCTACCTGAATTATCAAACCCTCGTTCACATGTGTGAGGGAATCAACTTTGGCCTCCGGTGTTGTTCAAGCCTCATCAAGGACGTTCTACTCGGACACTAGCAATTCACATTTTTTCTCCGATATGCAAAGATCATCACCAAGCTCACTCAGACGATGCTCCAGACTTGCCACACGTGATCCATAGGCGGCATGCGTAGTCTCCATCTCGCTGAAGGCATGGACGCGCCGGGAACCGGCAACAAGATAAAACATAGCCTGTGCGGCAGCGTAGGCCATATTGTGAGAAAGGGCAAGGTTACCCATTGCCTCCATATCTCCAACTGCAGCGGGAGGGAGGGTGTGACGCGAAAATTCCAAAGCATTTGCACACACAGAAAGTCGGGAGTTGTTACGAAGATCCCAAGATGGAACAAAAACAGCAAACTCAGAAGCACCATCCCCAGAACCACCATCCTTGGAGATCACAGCCTGTCCAGGAACACCAAAACCCTTTGCTGGGGAAAGCTTTGAAGGAACAAATAGAACACTGGGAGAAGGAATATAAGAGAAATCTGAAATAACAGGCTATTCAGTCACCCTATTGATCCCTTCGGACTGTTACGTGTTGTCATCAGGGATCACTACCACACCAGTTGGTGTGGAACTCATGGAACTCAGTAAGCGAGAAAAGTTGCGCCGAGTATGCATCCTTTTGGTAGCAGTAGGCACACCAGTAACTGGCTCGCCCATGGCCTGTACAGCTTTTTGCTTTGCATGCATCTGCAGGACGTCAGCAATGATTCCCTCCTCGCTGTCCTCATTCTCCTCCATGACAGCAGAAATGGGGTAAGCGTGCAGCGGACTCTCCTCAGATGCTGATGAACCCATGGGAGGAATAGGAGGGGAAATGGTTAGAGCAAGTTGGTCCATACGACAGGGTGGAGGAAGCCGGTCGACCAGATCCACCTCCCGAAACTCCAACTTACCCCGGTAACGCTTGCACAACACCTCGTCCATGGATAGAGAAGATTCAATACCTAGTACATGCATAAGGGAAATATAAGCAACACGGGAATAATGGGGGAATGGAAAGGAAAAGGGGGGTACAACACTCACCATCAACGACGGAGAAGAACACCACCATTTTACCCCCCCGCCGCCAGAAGGGACTCATCCCTACCCCTAAAAGAAGCACCTCAGAGTAATCTTCAGCAAATACTTGCACACTCTTCAAGTAGTCGGCAATACCATGGTTGTGGGGAAAGAGCTTGAGAATGGTATCGGCGAAAGCATTTGCATGATAACGAACACTCCCTACTAAACCCTGATTCACCCACAACCATTTTTCCTGGCAATTTTTTGGGGTACGCCCATCGGGAACCAAGGCGTGTCCTCCCCGCCAGACCGAGAAGGTGTATTTGTCAGCAGTAACACAGAATCGGAAAAAAATTGAAGATGAAGTAGTCTGGAATATACCTATTGGCTCTGCAGAACATTTCAAATGCAACCACCTTGTTAACTGCATTGGGAGTCAACATTTGAAGACTGCAACCATATTTCTGAAAGACTTCCTCCTGAAAATCGGTCAAAGGGAAGTGGATCCCAGCGTCTAGGTTTTTCAAGAAAACCCCAACCTTACCGGGGGGGGGGGGGGAGGAGGAGATGAGATGCTAGAACCAGGTGCCGGAAACTCCACACCTTCCAGAGAAGACAAGCCATAGGTGGCCTCCAGTCGACGGTACTCAGCGGCAGAGGGGAGGATACCGGGAAGGTTTGACATGAAGAAAGAAGAAAGAAGAAGACGAAGGAGGAAGAAGGAAAATATAAATAGAAACTGTTCAAAAACCCTTATAAACAAAAGGGAGAGGTGGAACATTTAAATGCCTGACACAATGATGCGGTTACCAGACATCATGCGCAGTTACATCGCCATTAAAGACGGAACGATGGGCAAAGAAAAACCGACACATGTAAGCTATTTAAGTCCAGAACACCGTAGCTAGCGCTGCAACACTACAACTATAGGACTGGGGGACTTGATGATATGCTTAGGGCAGCACGGCAAGAACACGTGCTGGACATGCCAACCGAGCTCAGCTCAGCAGGCTTAGCGTCCGCTGGCATGCTCGGGAGTGGAAGGCACAAACGAAAGTCCCGTGCACGCCAACCCAACCCAGCAGGCTTAGCGTCTGCTGGTGCCCTCTGGAGCGGAACAAACAGGCGAAAGGCTCGCGCCCGCCTAGAGACGCTCCCAGCTACAAGACAAAAGAAACGTTCAGGAAACAGGTAGGAGGATCTCCCCATTACCGTCATAGCCAATAAGAGCTCCCTGGTGGATAAAGGTGCATGACTCTCCAATCAGCGCCCCTGATCCTGTCTCCCCAAAAAGCGATATGTTCTGGTACGGATCAGGCAATGGAGCTAGGTATAAAAGGATATGCTCTCAGACCTACGAGGTAAGTTCTCTCAACTCTTTGGAGAGAATACACCCAAACCCTAAAACACCCTCTAACTTGACCGTTAGAGCGTTCTTCCGAGAGCTCCTCCCGGAAAGCGGCTGACGGCCCTTGTTCTTTGTGATCTTGTAGTGATAGCTGAACATTGGAAAGGATTTGACGTGCAGTATAGGAGCAAGGTCGCATCAGGACGAAATCTTCCATTATAAGTATAATGAAGTACAAAGTAACTAAATGCTTTTACTAATTCCCAAATCATAGTTACTTTAGGCAAAATGTGAAATTGTATGCTAATCCATGGAATTACACTTTATACCTTTGTCAAACGGTAGTGGTGCATGTGTGCTTAAACGGCATACTAATTTGGGGTTGACATTGGTAGTGAAGGGTGGATCGATGTTTATCGTAGATCAATAGAGCATGTGTGGCTAACCGGCACATTGATTAGGTGATAGTAGCATTGGGTGCACCACGTAATTCGCATGGTTATTCACACCTTGTTTGTGATCCTCAACATCCCAGTCGCAAACCTGAAGGGCATAATCGAGATTTAAACATTCCATTGAAAAGTTCAATGAATCTCAAAAGATCTAGGAGTTTCAATTCATTTAAAACTTAAAGTTCATTTTCGTTTTTCATGGTGGAAATTGGTAAATCGTCATTTACCTACCTTCAAATATTCTGCAACTAGATTACGGTATCCCTCTTCTAGGTTGTAGAGTATTGTGTTGGATCCTAGCCTTGATGTTTCATTTTGGGTGTTACATGAAGGATTCTTATCAAATGACTTGAATTTTCTCCTATTTTGTAGACGTCTAAATGTGATGCCTTTGAGAGCCTAGCACCCCAAATGTGATGCCTCAAATGCTTCACAGAATACCAAGTACACTTGGAATAACTTAGAGAGAAATTCAACACACTTAAAAATCGGCTATGCCCTCTTATTCTCACTAGTGGCTGATTTTGGTAGCTAACACATCCATTTTATAGTGTGTCACAAGTAGGGTTACACTATGTAAACCCTAAATGACATGACTTTTTATTTCTTCGATCCATGGGTTCAAAACCACCATGGAGCATCCATGGAGCATCTCATAGGTTTTAGCCTAACTCAATACACCATGGACTACAAGCCCACTATTAAAGAAATGGATAATTACACAATTAGTCCATATATTTAATTAGTCTTCTTTTGATCACAAAATTAATTCTAAATTAATTCTTGATCAATACTAATTAAATAATATTATTAATATATCATAACAAATAATATATTGATAAACCATAAGTGTCCTTTCTCTCATTTTAGTCTACCCAAGTGCATGATGCCATGCAACCCAAATGGACCATGGCAAACCGGGTCAAGTACATACCAGGAATAGTTATGGACTTAGACACCTTATCCAACCATCTCCCACTTGGATAAGTCTAATAACTATTACTGCAAGTATGATTTCAGGAACCGATTAGCAATCGTAGGTCTTTCAAGGTCTCTCGGAACTGAGATAATGATGTTATGCCATTTAAGATAAGTTATCATAAAATCCTCTGCTCTCAAGATATCAGTCGGACACATACAGTGAACAATATTGTACTTATTGTCCAACAGTTTGTTTCCCGATTTCCGATTTGTTTGACATAAAAATTAGTCGATCACATTAATTTAGTTCTGACCGGGCCCGGTACATAGGTCAAAACAAAATCATCGAGGGGCCCAGATATCGCATCTAATCCAAGAAGGAACAGATAAACTTCGACTCGTATGCTTGTTCTACTACTAGTTGAATTATACACAAAGACACGTTTTATAACATTGAATTACCAATGCCTTTTCGTATAATCAATGCATAACCAACTCATAGTCAATAACTCATATCTCTAGGTTTGAAGACTTATATGATATTACCATCTCACGATCGCTCGAGATAAATTCCATGAAATGATACAAGTGAGCGTGGGTTGAATCCAATACTCAGAACTTATGAGCACTCATGATTGTCATAGCAAATGTTGCTATGTCCAGCAACCTAGACATCTACAAGCCAACTTCATGACAGTCTTGATTCATATCTACTTCCAACATATGACCGACTGTGGATATTTTGAATAAAGTAATTATTCTAAAAGTCAAAACATGCAAAACTGAAACAATACTAAATAACTGACAAAGATAGCAACACTTTACTCATAAACAAACAACAAGTTTTATTCATCATCAAATGTCGATTACATTTTACAAGTTTCAGAAATACCTATCTAATATGTAAAACTAATATCACCCTTCAGCCCGATGCGCCTCGCATGCTATAAATTCTTAACTCTAGTCAGTCCCTTCGTAAGGGGATCAACTGGGTTCTCATCTGATGATACCCTCTTTGCCACGAGGAGTCCTTCTTCTATTGGAAGTCTGATAAAGTGGTATTTTATGTCGATGTGTCTTGATCTCCCTTGATCCATTGGTTCCTTCGCTAAGGCAACTGCACTTGCACTATCACAAAAATTTTCCATAGGCTCTTTTATAGCTAGTACAAATCCAAGGTCTCCAATGAAGTTCTTTAGCCATATAGCCTCCTTTGCTGTTTCACTCGCTACTATGTACTCTAATTCACAAGTCAAATAGGCTACCATCTCTTGCTTGGAACTTTTCCAAGTAATTGCTCCTCCGTCTAAGTTAAAGACCCAGCCTAACTGAGAGCGGAAATTATCCCTATCAGTCTGGAAGCTAGCATTACTATACTTAACCACTCTCAAGTCATGACTCCCACCGAAGGCAAGGACCCAGTCCTTAGTCCTCCGAAGATACTTGAGAATGTTCTTTACAACAGTCCAATGAGCCTTGCTAGGGTTCCCATGATATTTGTTGACCATGCTCAAAGCAAAAGCCACATCAGGACGAGTACAAGTTATAGCATACATGATCGATCCTACTCCGGAAGCATACGGTACTTGACTCATTTCAGCTATCTTAACCTCTGTACTCGGACTTTGAGTCTTACTCAACTTGGCGTTACTCTGGATCGGTAAGTCTCGTTTCTTGGAGTCTTGCATGCTGAACCTATTCAACACTTTATCCAAATAAGTACTCTGACTAAGTCCAATTAGTCTTTTACTCCTTTCTCTTAATATCCTTATACCTAGGATATAGGCAGCTTCCCCAAGGTCCTTCATAGCAAAGCACTTCCTAAGCCAGGACTTCACCTCCTGCAGAGTTTGGATGTCATTTTGTATGAGTAGTATGTCATCCACATTTAATACCAAAAAGCTAACTATACTCCTACTAGCTCTGACATATATGCAGGACTCATCTTCGCTTCTTAAGAAACCAAACTCTTTGACCTTTTCATCGAAACAAAGATTCCAGCTGCGAGATGCTTGTTCAATCCATAAATGGATTTGTCAAGCTTGCATACTCTATTTGGGTACTCTGCACTAACAAAACCCTCTGGCTAACTCATTTAAACATCCTTAGCCAACTTCGATTAGGGAAAGAGGTTTTGACATCCATTTGGCATATTTCATAATCATGAAACGCAACAATGGCTAGCATGAACCTAATAGACTTTAGCTTCACTATTGGTGAGAAGGTTTCATCATAATCAATAGCATTAGTCTGAGTAAAACCCTTCACAACTAGTCGCGCCTTATAAGTATGCACTTTGCCATCAATGTTGGGCTTCTTCTTGAAGATCCACTTGCACCCGACTGTCTTACGGACGGGTACATTGTCAACCAAGTTCCAAACTTGAATGTCATACATGGACTGTATCTCGCTGTCCATAGCCTCTTTCCATTTAGTAGACTCCAAACCTACCATGGCTTCCTTAAAGCTGTTAGGTTCATCCAAATTTACCAGTGTACTATCACTGATAAATGTATCACCTTCCGCAGTAATATGGAAACTATAGTAATACTCAGGTGCATTCCTAACCTGCGTGGAACATCTCAGAGGTACAGACTCGTCAACCGGATCAACAGGAGTTTCCTCCTCAGGTTGATTGCTAGGGTTTGAGGTTCCTTCATCATTTGACTCTTGAATTTCTTCAAGGTCAATTTGCCTCCCACTGTTTCCTTGGATTATGAACTCTCTCTCGTGAAAGATCCCTCTTCTTGGCACAAAGACCACATTCTCACTGGGTATGTAGAAGAGGTAACCAAAGGATTTTTATGGGTAGCCAATGAAAATACACCTTTCACTTCGACGTTCGAACTTATCTTGAGTCTCGCATCTCACGAAAGCCTCGCAATCCCAAATCTTGATGTGGTCCAAATTGGGAACTTTCCAAGTCCACATCTCATGAGGTGTTTTGGCAACCTTCTTTGTAGG